TTTTTTGGGGACTACTGGTCGCACGCCGGTGGGTACCTCGCACGACGCGGCGCGTTAACGGCCGCGTCGATTTCTTCAAGCAGGAAGAGGTACTGGTGGTTTAAATGACCGGAAAAAAAACGTCAAAAAAAGAAAAAAATTGGGAGAACCATTGGGAATAGCGACCTAAAAACCAAGCTTTTCAACTAAAAATCACACGGAGGTGTTGCTCACGATTTTGAGGGCGCAAAAATATCATATTTTTGGCAACCATTAGATGCCTGCTCTAGAAATGGCCAACTTTGCATCTCTCTGCTAGGTTGACAAATCGCGATTATAGTCCTATAATTACCTTTTCGCAACGTGCGTTTTTTGCTGACCTGTACACGAAACGACCACGGTCCTAAAACGAGGTGCGGTTTTCGACAACATGTCAGGGTAGACTTATAGTTCTATAAATATATTTTGAGAAGAACGGTTTCGAAGGCTAACAACAAGTTCATTTCACACTCCTTTCAAGTCGTCTTTGTTGAGATAAACTTTTAATGTTGTGGTAAAACCTGCTTATAATCCTATAAGTGTCAATCTGAAAAATATCTAGGACTTCTTCACTTGAAGTAAAGATTTATAGTCATATAAAAACCTTTTCCCAAAACTTCGTTTTTTGACATTCTGTTACTGAAGCCCTGAAGTGCTAAAAATTGAAGATTCCTAGAAAGGGTATAACTGACTGTTTTCAAAGATGAATTTATAATCCTATAAAGTTACGGGACTAGAGTCTGACTTTAAGCGTGTTCAATGACAAGAATTCGTATTCCTAGAAGCGAGTTTGGCGAAAAATTATTTTAACCAGCTGACTTTCAGGAACACTTCTAGAGTTGGGGGGTTGCCTCCGACAAATACAAGTTTTTGTCATTTCAGTGACAACGGTCTTGAATCTACGATGTACTTTTCTCATTCACAATATTTTTTGCTGGCTTAATATTCTTTGACCTTTTCTTTTTTGAGATCGTCTGGTTGTTAGTGTGTTGAGCTTCACTTGCAATCCTTTAAGCAAACCTTTATCTTTCTTTCTCTCTCTCTCTCTCTCTCTCTCTCTCTCTCTCTCTCTCTCTCTTACTTATTAAGCGCGTGCGCATCTGTCTCCATTTGGTCTTGAGCAAAACCCCAATGTAGACAAATTAGCTTCAAGTTCTTAGTGAAGTTAGGGTCACAAAAAGAGATGCGGAGGTCGAACAACTTGGAAATAACAAGTCACCTCATTTATTAGTCGTCTTCCCTTGTCTCTGTCTCTAACGTTTTTTTTTTTTTTTTTTTTTCCCTGCCATTTGCAACGAAACAAACAAGCAGATATGCTAGCGTTAAAGTACCAGAAGTCTCTCTCTCTCTCTCTCTCTTTTGTGCTAGCAGAAGACACTTATGGTACTATGCAGCTAGCAGGTCGACCTTAGCGTTTTTTTTTTTGACCCTAAGAATTTGAAGCTCGCGTATCTGCAAGGGTGGGGGAGAGAGAGAGAGATAGATAGATAGATAGA